TTGCTTAAATTAATTTTTCAAATAAATGCAGAATTTTATGAATATTTTTCGTATTACATGTAGTTTCCTGTAGGTGAATGATATGAATAATTTTGTTTTCAAAATGAATAAGTATGAAAATATTAGAGATTAAGTGAATACTTTAAAATGACTTTTTTAAATTCTACCACAATGGTCCAACTGATATCAAGAATGATCATGTAAAACGAAATACGAAAAAAATGAATATGACTCAACAACACTTATACTTTACCGATTTTACACATTATTAAAATTGTTTGTGGTAATACATTTTATCATGTTGTCTTACGTTTTATTTTGGCGTTGTTTGAATCATGCTGTGAAAGATGCGAATCCGGGTTTGGATTTACATTTTTATATTTAAAGTGCATGTAAGAACATGTTATGGGGTTGTACCAGCGTTTTAATCGTTTAAACATACATGTCGCACGAGGATGTTATCACGAGAGACATCGTGGTGGGCATAGCAGTGCCGAAGAGACAATACACTAACAGGACCCAATGCACCCGTTCTAATGCATCAATTCTAATGTCGGCAACATACCCTCAGCAATTGACGGAAAAGTACGGTTGTGCAGGTACTCTTTATTAACTGTCCCTTGTGGTCATAGAATCGGTAGGGCAAGTCGATTACTTCCTCCGCCAAACAACCGTAGATATGGGGGCATATTGGACTTATCCAGTAACCCCGCCGAACACGCAGGCGAGTGCAGCGTTTGGACAGGTTACGGGGAATGACGTCTGTTCAGTAGTGAAACATACTGTCCTTTGATAAAAAAAAAATCGTTGGAACGTCGTGATCAGGAGCCATTGTTAACTCATTCATCACTGAAGACACACTTGAACTCTTCCAATTCAAGGGTTGGAAAAGTTCATTATGAAAATTCAGGGGTGAATGCGTTAATTGACGTAGTAACGTTAACGAAAGGTTAAATTGGGGATTCCCGTATCCACTGCCAAAACCTGTATTAGATTTCTTTTTGAATGGTCATGACAATAGCTTAAATGTATCAATTCTGAAACAGAACCTTGCAGAACTTTTATGGTTAATGAAATATAAAAGGAAATAAATCAAAAACAAAACATTAACAGAGCTTTACTAAGGGTCGAAAAGCAACATAGCCATGCCGGAATTCGGAACTTAATCTTCCATTCACAATACGGTCGGTCTCACTATAATTGAGCTAACTGATCAGCGATAATTCCCTGTTTTAGCCAAACTACAGCTATATGTTAAACGAAATCATGGGGAGATAAATATAGGTATGAAAAAGTATAGTGGAATTAAATGTCGTTTTGCCTGTAGTGGCACAAGGATGGTTAAGCTACTTGCTGTAATACTTTAGTGTCTAGGGAAATAAAAACTACTTTTGCTGATGTTATCTGTAGGTGATAAAGATGAATCAGGAATCAACAAGAGAATACAAAAATGTCAAAATCGATAAAAATAGGGCAGAATATTAACAAAGGAAATAATTTCATGGATACCCTTGATAAATGTATTAAGATAATAAGACCAAGAGTTCCGGAAGGGTAAGTCTCTTTTCGTATTGCAGAGTTATCTTCTCTTGTCAGCAGGTATTGATTGTTACGTCATTAGTTTGTGTGAGAAAATTACGTCGTTTTCGCAAAATATTATGACGTTACTCTCACAAACACATAACTAACATTCAATACCTGCTCACAAGGGCAGATAACTCTGCAATACGAAAAGACGGAATGCGTCTACGTCAAATCCAAATGACGTCATGTCCTCACATCGAGACCATGGGTAATTAAAACAAAACCACAAGGCAAACTAATGATATTATCATAAACATCGTCCTTCAAATCACACATAAAAATAGCATAATTCCCGACCAGATCATGACAACGACCATACAACTTCATCAATCTGATTTTTGGAAAGTTTAAAGTGTGTCCATCAGCAGTCGACATTTATAAGGAGGTCATAATATTCGGAGCATGCACTTGAGTACCGAACCAAGTTCAGAATATTTAAACGCCGTAGTAGGGAAAACTGAGTTGTTACTATCAAGAAAGGGAAACTTTATTATAGGGAAATCGAAATCGTGCAACAAATATATGCATACTTTGTTTTAGAATTCAATAATTATGAAAATATCGGCATTTTATTTAGATTTCTTTTGTGATTAATAAAATAAAACTTCATACATGTACAATCGCAATCTAGAAAAGAGTAAGTGTCTGTACAGTAATGTTAACTGTTCAGCAGTGTGTATGGTAAATATATATTGTGTATAGGCTGATGTGTTTTAATAAACCTGACGCCTGTTTTGTTTTCATATTGAATGATTGTCAAAATACCATCGAATGGACTATAACCTTGATGTGTAATTAAACTCGTGAAACTGAATACAGTCGATTTCCGGATGCCGTGTTTTTGTTTGTATAAAAGATTTGTGTCTACCTTACCCGCTGTAGCGTGTCAACAAAATGTATGCACATCTGCATTCTGATCGATTAACGATGCATTCGTTTTAAATCCGACTGTGTATACAATGAGTTATGTTCTGAAAGCCTAGTCGAATTATGTGTCAGAATAAAACACAACGATAACACAAACAGCATCTGACAAAAAATCTACATTGTCTGCATGTTCATTTTAGATATAAGCTCTTTCGAATTTAAGTAAGAAAAAAAATAAAGAAAAAAAAAACACAAATTCAAAATTATTGTATACACGTTGTATTGGTTACATGTCCTTTGTGCTAAAATGGTAATCGACTTCCCTTTAAATATATGATAGAAACGTGATCAAAACTTATTTAATATATATATATATATATATAACCAACCGGCGGTGTTTCCCTGGGTACTTGTTGATACATCTTCACGCTTTCACAAATTAAGCAAGCCGTGAATCAAAACGAAATTTTGTTGATAGATGAACAAGTAAAATATCATTCTTTCCACATTCACTTTTGATTTACGAACTACTTTTTGTGGCCCCCCTTTATTTAAGCATAAATTTGGCACGGTATTCACACATTTTCATTTTTTCCTGTGTTTGACGTATCATTAACCGACTGAAATAAAGCTATGTGTTGCGCGCATATCTCTATCTAGACTAATAAATAACTTGTAAAATGTTTCAAAAACAAACAATTGACTTATAATGTATATTGCAACCCATAGGCATTTTGGAGTATTGGCACTCATGTGAAAAAATACCCGCCTTATGGCCCATCTCCAAACTCTGTTTCTATGGTGAGTGTACCAGTTAAACCACCGTTATTAACCCTACTCGCGATTTCATGCATGTCACAAATTGCAGGGTTGATACCAGGGGCGGGTCCAGGTGAGGGCGTTATGGTTTATTAAAAAAAAACAACAAAAAACAAAAAAAAACAAAAACTATCGTAATCTGCTAATATTGTATTGAATATGGCAAGTTATACATATTCATTAATTAAACACATACTCTGATTTCTTTTTATACTGATTCCCCGATCCGATGGGTGATCCGTAGTTTTTTAGCAAAAAAAAAGGTCAAAATTTTTGTTCGCCTCGCTCCGATCGGCGAAAGATTTGATTTTAAATACCATCTTTCAAATATCCTAGAAACGCCCCTGGATACTATGTATACACTACAAAGTAATACGTCTACCTGGCGCGTGTCCCATTGAACACCGTAGCAGAGAGTGGTGTGTCCTTTTACAGGACAACATAGCCACGGCTGCAAGCGTATTCTTGGTTCCAAGGTTAAAGTTTGTGTAAATGCAGTTGGTTTTATCGAACTCTTATCAATATCAACAAAAGCAACACTACCTGCCTCGGAGACCGAATGTCGATAGAGCCTCGTTTGAACTGTCGTTACATAGAAAGATCTCTGTATATGCATGTACACTTCACCTTTCTTCTTCTTTGGGGTACTATAGCAACATCTTAATCCTTCGTCTCAGTGACTTTTTTTCGCGTTTATGTGTCTTGCTTTTATCGAACTCAATATGTATATCAACAAAGACAGCATTATCTGCCATTAAGACCAAATTTGGACTAAGACTCCCTTAGCTTGTCGTTACAGGCAAATTGGTATGTATATACATCTACCCTTTCTTCTTACTACGTGAACTAACAGCAACAACCTCATGTTAATCCAAAGTTTCATTGTAATATCGCGTATAAATGCGTTATGTGTCTTTAGAGAAAATACGATATCAATATTAACAAAGACGGTGTTACATGCGCGTACAGATTCGTTTGGAGATTTATTACCAACATTTTGTTGCCTTTAGTTATATCCTCCTTTCAACCGTTATATTCACCATAATATTATCTAAGTATGTAGCATCTCCTACCCCCTTTTCCTCCTCCTCCCCCTTCCTCTCCCCCTCCCTCCTCTGCCCCTCCCTCCAACCGTGCCGTCTCCTCCTCCTCCCGCCCTCTTCCTCCTCCTCCCCTCCCTCCCACCGTGCCGCCTCCTCCTCCTCCCGCCCTCTTCCTCCTCCTCCCCTCCCTCCCTCCGTGCCGTCGCCTCCTCCTCCCCTCCCTCCTTCCGTGCCGCTACTTCCTCCGTCGCCTCCTCCTCCTCCTCCTCCCTCCCTCTTCCTCCACCTCCACTTATTGTACCATTTGACATGGTTACAACGTCAACAAAGGCAGCATGTCCTGCCTAAGAGACTTATTTTGATAAAAAATTGTTATTAAAATATTTCATCTGTATACAATACCGTCCTTAAGTGACCTTAGCTGTTGATAGGACATTTAACCATATACAACAACACCAACTAAATATGTACATTTCACGTTTTACCATTATTTTCAATGTAATAGCCTCTGCCTTTCTATCCTCTCGGTACGTAGCTCGTCCTTCTATTGGACAGTGTAACAACGTCAACAAAGGGATTTCAGATCAATTGATAACAGCTCATTTGCATACACGCGTTGTAGTATCGTAACCGGTGTCTCTCTCTCTATATATATACACACGCAGAGACTCCATACCAGTACCGCTAGTGATAGTCTCAATCACACGGCGGGCCCTTCAGTGGATATCAACACATTCATCCCGGTAGCTGCTTTCTTACCAGGGGATCCGTTATACAGCACACATCACGTGGTCCGAGCCTCTATAGAGACCGTACCATGCTACAGTGACTTTACAACGGGTTATAAACATGTGCGTGTGAGTTTTCCTGGAATTATTCAACTCGACACAGTAAGTGATTTTCTCGTGGATCAATCTCGGTTGAAGTGATTCGGGGAGATGGATTACATTCGCTAATGGTTTTCTCGTTTCGCGACAGTATTTTGCTGAAAAGTAAGGCAATTCTCTGTAGGGGTTATTTATGTAGATTTTTTTATCGTGTTTTCCATCCAGTCGCGAGAGGTGGATACTGTAGAACACGACACATACACCTGTACTTTATTTCGTTATATTATCTGTAAGTAGAGGCACAATTCAAAATATACACTTTCCTTTTCGATTTGAAATTAACCAATACTCCTCCAGTTTTTGTAATTCATGCAATTCAGGATTTTAACATACATCCACCTCTGTTCCAATGTTGTTTAGACTTTGTAGATCCAAACCATTTGACCTCCGTTATATATCTCTGCGTAGAGGCACAATTCATAATACACACATTCCTTTCCAATTTGGAATTTTTAAAAAGTACTCCGGTGTTTGAAATGATCATAACTAGGGTGTAACACACTTTCAACTCTGTTCAAAAATTAGTTTAGACTATTAAGATTACAACAAGTTTAACCTCTAGTGTCACCGATCTTACGTTTACTTTTCAAAGTTTTATTCAAATTCGGTAGTTTCTAATTCGGTGGTCATACAGCTCGATGTAATGCCCTTTAGTCAGATAAGATTGTCCTTACCTAATGAATCAGTACTTATCCAGTGTTTAAAATTAGTTCAACTATTGGGTTCGACGGACCTCCCCTTCTGTTTCGACAACTTGGATCACAACACCAGTTTGCTCCTAGCATCACCAATGAGTTGTAACAGTTCAAAAAACTGTATTGTAATTTATTTCTGGCAAATTGTTTTTATCACATTCATCAGTACAATATTCCACGGTCATTTAGTTTGAGTGAATGTCCTTTAGTCAGATTAGCATGTCCTCACTAAATTAACCAGAACTTCTTCAGATTTTGAAATCATATAATACAGTTATGGGGTTAAACGCGCCTCCACCTTCGGTTTCAAAAGTAGTTTTGTCTATAAGGATGCTAACACCATTTTAGCCAAAAGCAACCCCATTGAGTAATAAGAAAGTCAAAACAGCCGTATGATGCAGTGAGATTTATGTTTTGGCATATTGCCGCTATTACAAACGTTTATAGAGCAATCATTTATGTTAAACTTCTCTCACTTTTCAAGTTTTCCTTCCAATTCGTTAGTGCAATGTTCCGTGATCAGTCGATTCGAGTGAATGTCCTTTATTTCGTTTAGCATTTCATCTCTAAACTCAAACTCGGCGTTTTGTGTCAAATATTAGCACATTGCCAAACAACTCTATACATTATTCAGGAAAGAATATTATTTTCGCGGTTTTTTTGTTTTTTGAAAAGAGAGGTAATGCTAGCTGCAAACACCGCAAATATTAGCACACCGACAAAACCCTCCTGTTATACGGTGTTAAATATCATTTTCTTTGTTTGTGGTAGTGTGCTATTCAAAGTTTTAGGCGATTTGTGCGATGGTGTTGATTGAAAGTATCCCCTTTGTGGTAATATTGAAAAGTAGATGTGTGTGTAAAGGTTTTAGTACGGACTATTTGTTTTCTGTCTGGTCGTCACTGAAACAAGCGTTCAGTATAGGATATCCTTAACTTCCTAGTGTTAATTGAAACTAACAGTAAACAACATATAGTAACCTTTATGTAGAATTTCCATGGTCGTGTTATATTTTTTTTATTTCGTGACATTGTAGGGTTTAGACGTAAGGTTACTTAGTGTATGACATTTCGCGAGTAATTGACACCGTTTTAGCTTTCTTTCGCGTGACAACGTATACCTTAGACGTAAAGTTGTTTTGTATTTCACCTCCAATGTATAATTTCTACAGTTTGTTCTTTCGTTTCATGACATTCCATGGTTTAGACTTCTAGATACATAGCGTATGACATTTCATGAAGAATTGTCATGGTTTGTTCTTTCGTTTCAAGACATCTCATGGTTTAGACTTTTAGATACGAAGTGTATAACCTTTAATGTAAATGTACAATCTCTAACGTTTATTCTTTAGTTTTATGACATTTCACGTTTAAGTCTTCTAGAAAAATAGCGTATGCTCTTTCTTTCGTCTCTTAGCAATTCACGATTAAGACTTCCAGACACATAGCGTATGATCTTTCATGTGTAATTGTCATTGTTTGTTCTTCCGTTTCTTGGCATTTGATGGTTTAGACCTCCAGATACATAGCGTATGACATTTCATGGAGAATTGTCATGGGTTTTTTTTGTTGCGTTTATTGAAATTGTATGGTTTAAACTTAAAGTAGCATACCATTTACTCTTTTTGTTAAAATTGTCATAGCGTTATCAATTCTAATATTCACTTCGAAATAGATATTTCTCTGAAGCAAATATGCTTTCGAAAGCAAATATTTCCACTGAAACAAATATTCTCTCTGAAACAAAGTAAACTCTTTCTGAAAGAAATATTCTCTCTGAAACAAAATAAACTCTTTCTGAAAGAAATATTCTTTTTGAAACAGATATGCTCTAACAGGCGGATATTATCTCTGAAAGAAATGATTACACTGAAATAAATATTCTCTTTAAAGCAGAAACCCTTTCTGAAATAGGTACTCTGAAACGAACATTCCCTCTGAGGAACATATTTTCTCTTAAACAGAATATTTTTACTGAAAGTTAGACACGTGATATGATGAAATTTAGATACGATATCTGTATTTCAAAGCTTGTAATCACAAAGGCTGGTTTTTTTCCGCTGTCAGTAGGATATGACCGGTAGATGGGTTTACAGGACATTAAAAGTAGACAGCCGCGTCCTGTTTGATGATGACAAAATAGATCTGTAAGAGATAGCTACAAATATGAATTAATTTAGTAGTATACAAGTATGAACGGTTTAAGATGTATATCAGTATGGACTTAGCGTATGTATGATAAGGGCAAAATAAAAACCGCACATGTGCTGTAGCTATATTTGATATAATTCGATATGAATATTCCATAAAACGTATTATCGATAATAATAAGTTTACGCGTGAAGGTCGACTTCCATAATTCTGACACTTTATGAATCACAGCAGCTTTTTCAAATGGACTGTCAATATTTCAAGGAAATCTGATTTACACGTCGTAATAGGTATGCTAGTTTACAACGTCTATATAGCACTACTGAATAGTTCATGTAATTATTCCAACGTATGTTTAAGCATACATAGAACACAAATAGTGGTTACTAAACAGCCATACAGCTCCAACGTGCTAATATATTATTCAACATACATATACGTCACAACTTTGTCACCACTTTCTGTGCACATGAATATCTATCACTCGCATACATTTATTCCATGACCAGTATCACACATTTGAGATTGCCAACCTGTTGGTTCCTAGCCTCACCAATGAGTCCTAAAGGGACGAAACAGCTGTATTGTACAGTGTAATTCATTTGTGGTTTACCGTATTTATTACGACAATTTACAGGTGATTCACCTTTGTGTGTTGCGTTCATAAATCAGATATTGCCCCTGTGGAGTTTTACGTAGCCTAACAGATATGCAGTTTGGTTTTCTATTCCTGACCTGCAAGGATGGTAACATAGGGGCTCAAGGACATGTTCCCTACCTTATTACTACATGACAGCAACATGGTACTTAATGCTGTATGTTACCCCACTGTGTTATAGACACTTAACAATTTATAGTACCTTACTGCGATGTGGAAGCTTAGGAATATATGTAACTTTACTGCGACATGGAGGTTTAAGGATATATGATACGTTACTGTTAGAAGGACACTTAAGTATTTGTGTTAGCTAACTGTGACATGGGGACCTATGGCTATATGATTCCTTAGTGTAAAACATAAATTAAGGATGCACGCTTCCTTGTTGTAGCATAGAAAATAACGATGTATGCTTCCTTAATGTGACATGGGGATTTAAGGATGTATGCTACGTGACTGTTAGAGGGACACTTAAGTATTTGTGTTAGCTACCTGTGACATGGGGACCTATGGATATATGACTCGTTAGTGTAACATAGAAATTAACGATGTATGCTGCCTTAATGTGACATGGGGGTTTAAGGATGTATGCTACGTGACTTTTAGAGGGACACTTAATTATTTGTGTTAGCTACCTGTGACATGGGGACCTATGGATATATGATTCCTTAGTGCAAAACATAAATTAAGGATGCACGCTTCCTTGTTGTAACATAGAAATTAACGATGTATGATTCCTTAATGTGACATTGGGATTTAAGAATGTATGCTACGTGACTATTAGAGAGACACTTAAGTATTTGTGTTAGCTAACTGTGACATGGGGACCTATGGATATATGACTCCTTAGTGTAACATAGAAATTAAGGATGCACGCTTCCTTGTTGTAACATAGAAATTAACGATGTATGCTTCCTTAATGTGACATGGGGATTTAAGGATGTATGCTACGTGACTATTAGAGGGACACTTAAGTATGTGTGTTAGCTAACTGTGACATGGGGACCTATGGCTATATGATTCCTTAGTGTAACATATAAATTAAGCATGTATGCTTCCTTAATGTGACATGGGGACTTAAGGATGTACGCTACGTTACTGTGAAATGTGGACTAAAGGAAACATGCTTCCTTGTTGTAACATAGAATTGAGGATGTATGCTACCTTACTATGACATGTGGACTTAAAGGTATATGCGTCCTTGTTGTAACATAGAATTGAGGATGTATGCTAAGTCACTGTGACATATGGACTTAAGACTATATGCGTCCTTGTTGCAATATATAATTGAGGATATCTGCTACCTTACTGTGACTTTGTGACCTGCAGTTGTATCCTAAGTTCCTTTTATATGGAAGATAAGGTATACTAGCCTAATGTGACATTTAGACTTACGTATGTAAGTTGCCATGTGAATATATTTCGGAAACTTGTCCCACACAAAAATATTCGATGGCTCATTTAAAACATGCACAGGAATGTAAACGTTTCACTACTGAG